TGACAGTTCCTTATTTGTCATCCCCATCTTCCAGATAAAATCATGGAGTCCCGTGAAGAAATATGCCCTTATTCCTTTTGAAGATCACGTACGAAACCAAGTAGACTCTATCCGCATGGAGTTTCAGTAAAGAGACGTGCTCGCAGGTTCTGTCTTCTATTTCCTCAGGTTTAGCGAAGAACGCCATTTCTCTCTACCGAAGGAAGTAGATGTGCAATTCAGCGACACATGTGGGGCAGGGCCGTAAATTATGCAGATCTCCGCAGTATTGTTATTAATAATGGTTGTGTCCCTACCATGGGAAAACCCCTTATCTATTCTCTGATTTACACCGAAATGCTGCGCGAATAGTATCCCCTGTCGCATTTTCCGTCGTAATGCTTTGGTATTGAAACCCAAAATATCCTCCCCGAATCCTAGAGGTCAGGATACCTATAAAACCCTATAGGGATCCTATAGGATCCTAAAGGATCCTATAGGTTTTTCGTGTTTCAAAAACCTATAGGAAAGTCTATAGGTTTCCTATAAGAAATAACAATAAGTTTCCTATAGGACATTTTCGTAAGGGAAGTTCATGTCTAATTGTGGGTGCTATTTCTTGCAAACTCACGGCTTCCAATATTCATCTTTCCAATTCCCTGACCCAATAATTTACATTACCTGAATGAACTGGAATAGTGACTACTTTGCTGGAGGGAGGAATAACTGCCCATTCCCGTTTCAAATTTCTAGTGCCTTTTTTTAAAATTCGACTTGCAGTGTCCGTCTCCAAAGCCGGGAAGCAAATGAATTGAGGACTTTCAGACTCTTGATATGGGATGAGGCTCCTATGGCTCCTTCCTACGCCATCAACACCCTCCGCAAGATGCTTCGCGACATTATGAATAGCAAAGTGCCTTTCAGATGGCTGGTTTCTGAGTGCGAATAACACGACGGTTGCCCGTAGAGATGCCTGAGGACTCTGGTATCCATACTCGGTCATTTTGTGAGTTAAAGGATTGTTCTATCGTGAAGAGCTTCTCGTCAGAAAAGAGGATATTGTGATGGCAACCATCTGCAAACCAACGGAGCAGCGACTGATATCGTTACAGCCTAGTCTTCTACGCGTGTTCCATGAGAAATTGAGGATTATGGGACTTGAAAGACAGAAGATTCAGCGTGTTCTTCATCATTCGCCGGAGCGATTCGGGATTTATCTCCGTCGTTTGGGCCATTTTTTCAGCGATTGCTCCGGATTACGACGAAGTCGATACGGAACTCTTTTGATGTTGACAGTGGTTGACACAGACTTTGTTAGACCTGATCCATGACAATTCTCAGTAGAGTTTGTCTGAAGGAACCGTTTGATAGTACGTTTGATGAAGTTCCGGTTGTAGCCGTTGTTCTGGAGCAGCCGGAAAATCTTAGAGGGTAATTTCCTAGCTCCATGCAAACTGATAGCAGCAGACCAACGATGTTCATTGGACAATGACATGACGAAAAGAATAGGGGTTCGCAAAGTTTTTGTGAAGCTAATTCCCTCTTACCATAAGCTTTACATCGAAACCAAACCAAAAAATTTCCATTTTAGCTTAGAACCAGCAATGTTTTTCGGAATTGTACAGAACCTTTGTGTCACCCTGTAGTTTTTTATGTCATTTACCAGAAAAAAGAGGCCATTTTACGACATTTAACAGAAAAAATATGTGCCATTTTCTATCTAACACGTTATTCTTTCATTCCATTTGCCTTGAAAAAACCCGTTAAATTTACAATTAATTTGTCTGAACTGTGCGTGTGTGCTGGTCCTCTTGAGTGAGAGAAACTGAAGTATCCTCAATAAAAATATTGAAAATTCAATGTTGAAAAAATACCAAAATGTTGTTATAATCATGTTTATTTCTTCACTCCCATATATGGCGCCTCCCTCTTGTGAAATTCTGACCGCCGTCACGTTCTACCGCACTATCGGACCCCAACCAACTGCAATCTTGGCCACGACTTGACAAAACTCCTGTACGAAATTAAATGTCGCATGAAACGTTTGTATGACTACTGTTCCCAGTGTGACCAGATTACAAAACAAGGCTGTGTGACCCATTCGGTATCACTTCCCCATTTTTTGCCATTCTTAAATTTTATCGTTTTACGTTTTTATTACTTTTTTTTTCGTTTTGGTACTCCCCCCCTCCCCCTCCCCTCTGTGACCATAACATCCTCGTGCTTTTATCTGTTTTTTTTCTTTGTCCCAATCCTGGCCCATTTTTTTGCTTTTATACTCGTACCTGTATGCCTGCCGTGGGAGATCAATTTGCTTTTGCACTGCCCCTCACACTTGAAATAAATCCTTCATCATCATCATCATCATCAAGGGTACCTTGAAGGTTTTAAGCCCAACCCCACATGGCAACACAAGCTATGTTATGCACCGTTCATCAGGCACACGATGTTCTGTTTTAGTACAAATTCATGCCACGAAGCAGGTATTAAAGGGGCTCAAGGAAAAAAAAAGTTGAGGCTTAAAAGACAATTCGAATATGCCAATGATGTTTCGTAAATAAACTAAAACTGATGGAGATTTTCTGCATGCGCTCCGTGGACTGTTAAAGTGATGAACATTGGAATCCATACAATTCCACAAATATAGGAACTTGAACCATTCCCGATATGTCAACAATTCATTCGCTTCTATGATTTTATACACATTGGAAGCACGATAAAGAGAGACGGAAACATTTCACCTCGTGGGCTTAGTCATATCAGAATATATATTGTGTATGGAGAAGTTGTAAAATAGATTGCCTTCTGCACTATTATTTCGACCAACCATACTTCATTTCTCCTCATCTGTTCCCTGAGAAAAAGTCAGCTAAAACCAAAATGAAACGTCTAGTCCAAAAGAGGCAATATATTTCGCTGAAAAATGCAACAGATGCCGCCAGAGAGTTTCACTTATATGTGAAGATATGCGCCATCTAGCACATTTTGAACTATGCTGAAAGTGTTCTGCCCCAAAAAAGAATTCCATGAACAAGTTGAGCGTGAAAAGTAATTTCTGCACGAATAGATTCTCGCTTACTCGATGATTTGATGGCATTCCCACGGGAAGGAGATGATTCGGCCGCATCATCTTGTCCTCGTTCTGGCCGTTATATATAACGGTTATATTCTCCGTTTGATAAACAGGTAAACGAAAAGGAAGTTGTCCTCCGTTACGGAAGTGGCACGTATCATCTTGGATCTATCTGTATCCGATATTTCCCCAACAATCGTCAAAGTATGCAGATAGAAGAAAATCCCATTCTACCTGGGGTTATACTGTGTCTCCAACATGATATTCCTGGATTTCAACGTCCAAGTGCCATGACGTTCGGGAAGACAACGACATCACGGATATTAACGTCATGAAAGTAAAGGTACTTGAGAGGATCCACGGATTTAAATGCGGGGATGAAGAGTCACAGGGGGTATTTTGAAGGAGGGATCGCACAGAAACAGGGCAAAGAGAAACCTGACACATTCCTCAACTCTGTCTTTGAGGGAAGGAATGAAGGTTAGGCAGAAAGAGCATCGCCCATTCTGGAAGGGAGTACTCGCCTCATGGAACACGTCTGTGCGGTTCCGGAGTCGCTAGCAGTCTTGGCACCCGGGAAGAAAAAGGGATGTTGGTCACGTCCCTGAAAAGTCCTTCTATCTCCATCCTCGCATGAGATTCCTTCACGTGAGATGAAGGAGAATCCCGTAATATAGGGGAAGGATCAACTGATCAAGTTCATTAAACTCGCCTTCCACAAACTAACGAAGGGAAGTTTGGGTTTGTGCTTCCATTCTCTTCTTCCATCCAGGGTCAGCGTCTCTGTTAAGAGGACATCCACGATCTCTTCCCCCACCCTTACATGTCTCCCGCCGATGACTTTTAGTCCCCCTACGCCGTCTCCCATCATCCCATGATCATGTCTGCTGAACTGTAAAGAGGAAAGAGTGTCGACGGGACCTTCCCCACTCACCCTACACCTCCACACCGTCCCCCTAGATTCCCTCCCATCAATTCCCCCCGAGATGTATACATGATCACCGTAGAGGGTCGTTGCATGATTAGAGACGGGAATGGGGATGTTTAGGGGAAAGGGAGACCATTGCTCCGTTCTCAAGTCCAAAAACTCGCAACTGGAGTGTGTTATGCCCTTTTCGAGGTCCATCCCTCCCAAGACGAGGATTGTGTGGGGGTCCAACATCACCGTAGATGCTTCCCACCTCCCCGTCATCATATTCGGGAGCTCCACCCATTGGTTACTGTGAAGAGCCAGTCGGAGTCCTGAACGGGGATTTCTCTTCCCTCCCGCAAGAAAGAAAGAGTCCCACATCCCCACCCCCATCGTCCCTTCCACGAAAAAAGGCTGGGGTATGGGGAGTTTGTAATCCCATCCGTGAGGGGCCTCACGCCAATCCTTCCCCTCAAGATGAAGAATCTGTACTTCCCCCCCTGTCCCGTGGATAAGCATGCCGGAGTGGGCGAGGAATGTATCCCTTGCTGAATGAGCGTCCTGGACCCAAAGCGTTTTCCTGTAGACTTCCCATATCCCCACTCGCCCGTCTTCAACACTCCCCATGGCAAAAATCCTTGTCGCCCCTGCAATGGAAACTGAATCGGAGTTAAGAATGCAGGAGTCGAGTATTAATAGAAAGAGAGGAATCCAACTCTTTTCTTCGTAGATTCTCGAGAAATATTTGAGAAAAGCTGTTTAAAATGGTTAGATTAGATTAGATTAAATGATTCCACATGGATGTGGATACAAGTCCTGATGTGTGAATAAATAAATATGACAAAAAGTACAAGAATATAGACTTTCCGTAATTTCTCTCCATGTATGCACTTGCACATTATAGCAAGAGTATTCCACCTCCTCATAATTGCGGATTTGACCTGAGCCTTTGAGTCCACGTGAATAGACGTGCAAGGAGTTCGTAATTTAGGTTGAAATCTTGTACTGGAGCTTTCACTTGACATTCATAAATTATTTTGAATTTTAGGAACGGATCAAATTTGTGCATGTTGTCTTTTTCATATTCTTGTAGATTCTAGCGATATCTCGAGAACCGGAATGAGATGGGGGTTAATAAAACTAACCGGTTATCCCCAAGAGCTAAGCACCCTAAAGTGCTTCTCTACTTTGATGGAAGGATGCCAGGTACGCTTTTCATTTCATTTCATTTATTTCTCGCTTTCCTACTTCGCCAACCAAAAAATGGTACATGTTATGATACACCCCCCTCCCCCTCTCCTCCCCAAAAAATCCTGAAATTCTGAGGAGAAGGCTCCTGTCTCTTCCTCAAAACTATGGGCATGTCATTAAATAATGTTTTATACTTTCATGGCTGGAGTTTCAACGCCCGAATATCTCCGTGCTATTGTACAATGTATATATGCAGGCGGATGAAGAACAAATTTGAAAATTTCACCGTAAAACCTACGTATTTTCTAATTGGAAAAAATTAGAAATCATTTATGAAGGAAATAAGTAAACAATTCGGTAATACTTTGGTTGCATGCATGCAGTCCAATAATTTTAGTTACGCGCCCAACTGAGCAGATTGTACCATTTTTCCAATGTAAACAGAATCTAAGTATGTTTCTGTCATGGTTCAGGAAGTTGGCTGTTGGTATTCAATTACCTTTTGGAGGTGAATTCTCTCTCATTCCATCTTCATCCATTCCTCCTTCCTTAGGAATCTGGTCAGAGGAACGCATACTTTATTAAATGATCTAATATCATAAATTCATAAGACGAAAGGAGCACATAAATGAACATAAGAGATCTGGGAATGAGAATAACGAAAATGAGATATAAAATTGTACCATTAGAAATTGGCTTATTTGATCCAATGCCTTCCAGTCGTTATCCGAGAGGGATGCAAGGGCATTGGTAGATGGTAGAGGACGATGAAGGAGGAGGCCTCTTCGTTCCATCTCCATCCAGAGGCCCATTCGGCTCCGTGCTGCAGCAGAAGTTCCACCGTCGACAATGAAGAGTGTCTGGACAGCTCGGGAGATCCCCTCAACCATCCATGAGTCTTCAACCCCCACGCATATCACGTGGGAATGTTCACAACCTCGGTAATCCTTGACTTGATAGACCTGTGGTGCTGCCCTGGTTGTTACTGAGTCCATCAACCTCACAGCTTCAGTGAAGATTTCCTGGATCTCTTCATCCGAGACTAACACCACAAACTTTTCCTAGAAATGCAAATTTCAGTTTACGAATGGTACATATTAATCCAGGTTGGTTTATTAAAAATACCTTTTTAAAATAATTTTTATTTAATCTATCAAAAAGGCTAAATAAGTAACCCACAAGCGATTAATATGAGTTGCAGTAGAAACACCTTATTGGCGATAAAACGTGAACCATTTTTTGCTAGGAATGTACTCTCAGTTGTGATGCAAACTTCTGCGACGAAAGGAAGTTGTCGAGCATAGAATCTATATAGTTTGGAGTTTCTCTGGAAAGGCGTTTCATGGCGAAAGGGAATAGTGAAAGAAGGAGGAAAGTGTTAGGAAACATAGGTGTAAATCCTTCCTATTTATTTGCTTGGTGAATGGGTGCGCCGCTATTTACAAATGCAGATTGGTCTCGAAGACAAGTCGCAAAACTGGTGCAATGAAAACTCACCTTGAGAGCGCATTTCTCAAAGAATACCCATTCATCCAAAACAAAGACACTGGTAGCGAAAACTTGAGAAGCCTAATATTTCTTTAAATTTTTTATTAATCCATGCACCTCAACAAGAATCGCAGGGAAACACATTTTTCATGCTATCAGGGATGTGCATGATATTCAAAATGTTAATGTGGTTTAAAACTATAATAATCCCTAAGGATTTGCTCAAAATAGGGGTAGGACCTTATGCTGAAAAAAATACTTGCTTAAAAAATCATTTCATAGTTTTTGGAATTTTTGGTCTAGTTACACCCTAGTAGCACATAACATTTAAACAACATGGATTCAATGTTGACTTAATCACTTCACTTTAAGTTCACTTGAAGATCCGTCCAAAAAAAAACAGGTTTTCACTGAAAGAAACCGAGGGAGCTGCAGGTGAATAGGTAATTTATGTTTTCGCAAACTGTTAATATTATTTCAAACCAAAATTCAGGGCTATTCCTCCTTCAATAATGGTTTGGATTGATTGGATATATATTAAATGTTTAGCCTCGAAACACCTAAACCACGAAAAGTGGACTAGTTTTGCTGATCACTAACCTTAAAGTCACTCTGACTAAGATCCTTCTCGAGCAACTAGGCATATACCTTCCAGGAGAAACTAATGTGCTTTCGTTGTTCACAAGCGTCATGCTCATCATTCCATCCCCCGCATAGGGAGGCTCATCGTCCATTCAGAGACAGAAAATAAGTAAATGTGTATGGAACGTACGTGAGGTTGGGAGTGAAAGAGGACAGTAGCGGTGATGGCGATGCATCCTCTTCCCCGACCACCAATGCACTTCCATCTCCCATGGTAGTGCAACCCAACGGGAGGGGTGACTAGTGTGGGTTTCTCTCCAAAAACGAAGGAAGAAGACTGTGGCCGAGTGTTCAGGGTCCCCGGTTTCACCCTCAAGAGATAGGGGGATTCGTGGGATAAGACGTGATGAAGGAGGTGTGGGAAGCCCACATCCCGACATCCCTTCAGTATCCTCACCTCTGTTGGATGGGAAAGTGGGGGGGGGGGGGGGGGGGGGAAAAG